AAAAAAAAAATGGATTCAAAAAGTCAAAACACACTTAAATATTTTAATAATAGTAAAATATATTAATTACAAATAATTATTTATCTTATCTAATTTTTCTTTCAAGAAAACAAAAAAAGAAACCTTGACATTAATCAAAATAGCCTTAAGTCATTATTACGGCATTAACAAAATTTCAGGGGTAAATATTTTTCCAATTTCAAGCTTGTATTTTTTGAAACAAATGTTTTCTATTACAAGATTACTTCTAATCAAAAGGTATTTGCACTGGTTTATGATTTTTTTTTTTGATTTTTTGGCTTTTTTCTAGATGTCTTGTCTGTATGGTTCAAAATATCTTTGCAAGTTTCCTTAATCGGAATCCCAAGTGACTCTTTAGAGTGGTAACCAGTTGGCATTTCTAATGCCTCAGATATATGCACACAATGAAAAAAGATTTATGAACTGTTAGGGGAATCATATACCAGCAATATTTTTAGAATATTAGAGCAGCAGTTTCATAGCGATACTGGTAAAAACTATCAGAATTCAACTCATAACAGGAGCGTAATAATATCAGAGTTGTCTTTAATCTAATAATTACATTTAATAGCACTCCCGTTTTATAGAGCAAAAAGTTTCAGCATTTTCAAATACCCTTCTGCAGTGTTCTCATCGCTAGTGTTGCAAAAACCATTTTTTGGGCATATCCAAAAAACTTAGATAATCTCTAAACCTCAGTTGAATATTCTTTTTTTCTTTTTTTACTTATGCTTTTTCAGCAGAGGATTTGGCAAAGTATTTTTTTTGTGGATAAATTTAGGATATAAGTTTAGTTTATATCCTAAATTTAAAATATTTTCAAAAGATCTGAGCTAGCAATTGAGTAGAAAAGTTCAGAGATAAAACTTTTTCATTGATGGTTTCGATCTGATCAATGCTGGGTTGTTAAGTTCACTGGGCTTAGCTCCACAAACATTCATGATTAAGAGGACAGAGTGTTAACTTTACCATCAAACATGGCATATTAGCTTGAAATTAAACTTAAAATTAAACTGTAAACTTCACTCCATGGTTTTAATTTTTTAGAATTTGTAACACTTTTCATGAGAACAACAAAGTCTTTTACGTGAGGATCTCTAGATGCTTTTTTTATTGAATCTAATGCCAATCCTTTAGCAGGATGTTCAGCCAATTTGGCAACTTTAAACAAAATAATATTAAATATTTAAGCGTGTAAACTATTTTTTAATTTGAGTTGAATTTAATTGATTTATTATTACTATAGATCTTTTTCTTCTATCACTAAAATCTTTGCAGTCCTTTCACTTTCTACCTACACCTGCTGCCGCGTTTTTTAGTCAACTGTTACAACTTTCTTCAACCAAGTTCGCTTGTGTTTCAGAAAATTTCAGAAATTTCAGGAATTTTTCCGCAACTTTGATTGAAATTCAAATTTAAATATTCTTTAAATTTATCATTTCAGGTTTGTCAATACTTTCATAGTCTCGACCCTTCAGTCTACAAAACTCACATAGAAGAGCATCGAGTATATTATTATGATTAATTGATTAAACTCTTGAACTATAGGAACTAAATGTATTATTTTTACGATGAATGTATGCATTGAACTATTATTTGCTACTTTATACAAAAGTTTTAGTTAAAAGCAGAAAAAAAAAATACGATAAAAAAAATCAAAAAAATATACAAAAGGTCATATTTTAATTTGGGGAATTAGGGGCAAATGATTTTTATTTTATCTGCTATCATTCATACCGATCAATTGAAAAATGTTAAAACTATCATGGAAGCTAGTGCAATCTTTTAATTTTTGAACTAAACTCTTAATTAAACTAATTTAAAAAAATCATAATAATTAAATGAGATCTCATTAATGAAAATATAAAATAAAAAAATTGTTGTCAAAAATGATGTTAATAGTTACCAAACACCGTATACCTATGACTTCAAATGAAATTTTGAACTGTTTTTACCCGCGTCATTTTTCAAAGAGTTACAATAAAACGAGATTTTTTTGAACGAATTTTCCGATAAATAAAATAAAATAAATAAGTCTCGGTAAAAGGCTTTTCATCCGCCTACCAGATAGAAAACTGGCACGCATGCGCTCTAACTAAAACTTTGAAAAGTAACAATGACTTCTCCTCTGATCCAACTATGATTTGCAATGAACTAAACAAATAATTATCAGTTAGTCCAAACTCAGCTAAAAAAGTTCCTTTTATGAATAACAAAATAGATGCTTATGATGTTCCGATATCGGCGACCAAAACATCTTAAAAACTTTCCTTTAAGGAATTAAAACCGTAACAGTTCGTTTATAGTTAATGAAACTGGATACAACTAATCTATTAAATATAACCTGTGGAGTTCTTCGAGGGTCTTTACTTGAACCACTTTTATTTTTAATTTACATCAATTATCTCCCTGAAGTATCAAATTTAATTATTCAAATTGCCACTAAATGCCAAAAAAAAAGGTCACCATCAAGGGATATCTAATAAAAAAAATTCAGCTTACCGTCTTGCCCTTACATTTTATAGACAAAATGTAAGCAAAAAAAAGAAACAAATACTAACTTTTTAGTTATATATGTTTGATGAAAACTTTATCTAGAAATACCACACTAATTGTTAAAACTATAGGAGTAATGGGTAAGGCTAGAAATGTTTTGAAGTTTAATACATTTATATTATTCTTTTTTAAATTGTCATTTAAACTATGCAAATATTGCTTTGTGTACGATACGATAAAATGATAAAATACCAACACTTAAGTGATAAAAAAGTTTATAAGCATACAAGAAAAAAATAGCAAACATTTATTCTTGGTCCAAAATAGAAAAAAATGCCGTGTATCTTACTTATCTGCTTTCCAGCAATCTTTTGTTGCGCATTAATACCCAACAATGAAAGTTAGGGAATTGCGTAACAACGAAAGTTAGGGAATGCACTTACAAACATTCTTAAATTGCGTTCAAAATTATTTAGTCTAACTATAACTCACATCGCCAACCTCTCATTCAAATCAGGTATTTTTCCAGACTCATTCAAGACTGCTCAAATTACACCAATTCCCAAAAAGTTAGGACAAACAGTATTTAAACTCACTGATCTGCGCACTATAATAAATCTCAATACAATATCAAAAATTTTTAAAAAGCTTGCTTTATTTTGGCTTAACTGTAAACTTCAATCCTTTTATATCTGGTTTTAGGTCTAATCACTAAACAGAAACAGCGCTCCTAAAGATATGCAATGACATCCTGTTAAACTATAATGATGCTTTAACCACCATTTTCCTCTTTCTAGATATATCTGCAGCGTTTGATACAATCAATCACAACCTGCTAATTGCTTGTATAAAAGATGACTTTCGTTTTATAGATACTGCACTAACATTGCTAACGTCATACTTGCACTCTTGAAAATCTTTTTATTTCTATAGGCTTAACAAAATCTAAATTGTCAACTAGTTCAACAAGATGTGTCTGAGGCCCATTTTATTTTCGATGTTTGTTTCTCCTGTATATCGTATTATAGCTAAACATATCACAAATTGACTATTGTAACAGTCTTTTATCAGGTTCTTATTAAAAAAATGTTAAAAAACTCCAATGTACTTAAAATAGTTTATCTGGCATTGTCTCTTATTTTAAAATCTCTTCATTGGTTACCAATCCATCAACAAATAGTTTATTAAATATCAATTATTACATATAAAACTTAAAATACTAAATCTCCTGCATATCTATTCGAAATTTTAGAAACCCGAATTTCAAAACAAGGCACAAGTTCATCAGACCGTTGTCAACTTATTTGTTGCCTATCAAAAACTTGCCAAGGATCAAAGTCTTTTTCCATGCACCTCGAATATGGAATGGCTTGTTTATAAAACACGTAACTCATCCACTTTAGACACATTTAAAAAAAGACTGAAATACAAACCTTTTGTAGACACCTTCAGGAGCACAAAGTAAACTTTATCAGTGCTTCTGAATTACTTTATCACTATTGTGATTGTTGTAAATTATGGCACTTTAATCTCTAATTGTTATATTATTATTATTATTATCATTATACATACGTATATATATATATATACAGGGGCGGATTTAAACCCCGTCAAGTGCTGCAGGTGACGGGGTAAAAAAAGTTATATAAATATTGGTACTATGACGTCTTACACTCGTTTAACACGAATTGCCGATCTTTATATTTTTGATATATTTTGTTAGAAAATAAAATTAGGAAAAAGTTTGCAGTGAAAACAATGCTTTGCAGAAATTGCAAAAGTTGTTTTATAAAATAGCAAATGCAAACTATACTTTGCAGGATATGAGAAAATTAATTAATTAAAACTTGTTAATGTAAATTATAGTTTGCAGGATGAGAAAATCGGATAAAGTAATTGGTTTACGCTATTAAAAGTAGTGTAATATCGTAGTGTAAACTATACTTTGCAGCATTTGTAGCAGTTTTTTGATTAGTTATAAACATATAACAAATTATTTTCTTTAATTCGTGATTAAATTGAAATTAAATTCGTTTTTAAATTTAAAAGTCGAAGCATAGCCAATAACTTAATTGAAGATGTTCTAAAAAGATTAAAAGCGACGATCTTGTTTGAGGATTTTGTAAATTAGTAATCTTTTAAATATGTTTTATGAAACTATTTACATAAATTTATTAATAACAATAACAAAATGGTTACTAATTAAGATCTTTAAAGTCGATTTATAGATGGCACAATTAGTAAGTACGCGCACTGAAATTTTCATATTGACCATATAGTAGAATGATATATATCATTAGAAAGGCCTTCAATACAGTATTTTAAAGGTGAAAAAATTATTACAAACGAACAATTCTAAAAAAAGTTATAACATTTTTAGTCGAAAATTTTAGATATATGTAATTGTTGAAGAAACTGTGGTCAAAATAGTTTTTTTTTTTTCACTTAAATTGTTATAACTTTGTCAATTTTTATCCAAATACCTATATCTTGGTATCACAAGTTAGGTGCACTAATGGGCTACAAATCTTGGGAGCCAGAGGGGGTAATGAAACACCACCTAACCCTAAAGAAAACACAAGTTTTTGTCAGAAATAAGCACTTTTTTAATGTAATTGTTATATTTTATACACAAAATATTGCCATAACTTGATTCTTAAACACTGTCAAACAAAAAAAGGTGATCTTAGAGTTAGCCATAGATGTGGTTATGATGTTATAACACCCTAAATACAATAATCATAATTTCTAATAAATAATTTAATCTTTTTTACAGTAATTAAATATTTTGTTCAAAAGTAAAAATATTTTTTTTTTTACTATAAAACATACATTAGTGATGTACAACACTAACTTTAGGGGAGGGTGTATGCCGCACCGCCCCCCCCCCCTAATTCATAAAAAATAAAATTAATTTTATCTTTATTACAATAATTAAATGCATTGTTCAAAATTAAAAATAATCTTTTATTACTATTCAACATATATTATTGATGTACACATTGACTTGAAATGAAAGAAGTATGATGCACCACCTCTCCCTCCCCCACCTGACAAAAAATAATTTTTTATAACTATACAACATACATTAGTATTGAAAATATTGTTGCATTACATAAAGCAATATTTTTTTACTATAGAACATTCATAGTGATGTACAATTTGAGGAGAGGGATGGTTTTCCCCCTTTCCCCCAACCAACATAAAAAAGAAAAAAACAGAAATGACATTTTCAACATTTTCATATGCAATTATTAAAAAAGAGAAGGCACAATACATAATTGTTTAACCAGATTACAAGTTGCACTAGTATACATTTTCTCATTTAAATGATCATATTTAACCTACCAACCTAATAAAAATAATAAAAAATAAAAATGTTTTGAAACATAGTAATTACTCTGTCTATGTTTATGTTTTATGTCTTGGTTTTCAGTAAATGATTTTAATTTTAAGTTCAAAATGACGTATAAGCTTCATATGTAAGCTCTAAAAACAAATAACATATTAATGTATTTGTAATTCATGCAATTAAAAATTATAAAACTTAAAATAAATACTTACTAAGACAGTTTGTCTGAATAAATATAAAGAATGATTAATGAATCAGTGAAATTTTTAATAAAAAATATGTATAAGCTTCTGATTCTCCTTTTATAGCACTTGGAGAGATAACAAAACACAAAAGTATTAAATAGATTATATAAATAGGAATAAGAGAAACTCAATTATCAATCAGAGACATTCTAGATTCATAAATTTACCGTTTGAAGGTGGTACAGATGGAACTAAAAGTAAAATTTTTTTAATAAAAAATACAAATTGCAAATGGTAATAAATGCATTCAAAGTCAAAAAAGTAATAATTTTTAAACTTACTCGACGTGACAGCTGAAGATGTAACTATATAAAAAAGGTTTTAATTAAAAACCAGTTGATAAGAAATGCAATTGCAAAAAAGAATATGCAATTGATAAGAAATCCATACTTATGTTAAAAGAAAAAAGGTTTTGAAACTTACCAGGCGTAGCACACGTAGAAAAAACTAAAGTTAAAAAATATATTATAAAAATCAATATTGCAATCAATAAGAAATTTGTGCGCGTTAAAAAGAGTTGTTTATTTTACCAGGTGTAGCACATGAGGTAGATACTAAAATTACAAAGTTGTAACAAAAAATCAATATTTTAAATAACGAGAAATGCATACACATAAAATGTAATAGTTTTTTAAATTACTAGTTGCAGCACATGACTAAGAAACTAAAGTTAAACATATTGTAAAGTTTGCACATTAAAAAGTATGAGTTGTTAACTTACCAGGTGTAGCACAAAAGGTAGATACTAAAATTAAAAAAATGCAGCAAATGGGAAATCCATACACGACAAGTAATAATTAAATAAGTAAGAAATACATATTTATATATATTTAATGGTTAATAAAAGTTATACTATAATAACTTACCAGCACTAGTCTGTGCATATTGGACTAAAGATAACAAAAAAAATCTTGAAATTGTCAACAATCAGTAAAAATAATAGTTATTTAATCAGTTCTGCTTTACGTACAACAACTTTTTTAACAAAAAAAAAGTATGAAAAAATAATAAAAAACAAATTATATTTCTGTATATTAGAAAAACACTAACAAGATATTTTTATAAGAATAAACTTATTATTCTAAAAGTATCTTGATATTTTTACGAAATTAAGCTTATTTTTATAAAAATATTTTTTCAAAAACGTTATTGGCTTAAGCCAATAATGTTTTACTTTAAAATATAATAATGTCGTTTGTATATTTTTATATATATGGTGATTAACAACATTGGTGTCTGATACTATTAGTTAATAAAATATTCCAAAGTAACGGTTTAATCTTAAATCCTAATCTTTTTAATTTACCATCATTGGTATATATTACAATCATTGGTATATATAGTTTAAAAAACCTTAATCTTTGTTTACATGCCATGTAAACAAAGATTAAGGTTTTTAAATTTATCATTGTTTTGTTTTTTAAAAAAGTTATTATCATGTAAAACATATTAACTTACTTTTTGAAGTTTTCTTTTCCATAACTTTTACCATTTTTATTTGAATTTTAAAAATTAAAATAATACAATGTAGTAGTTTACAATCCGCTTCCCTCTGTCCTCCCCCGTATTTCTCTCACCGATAAAACGAAAACAAAAAAAACCGAATTTAGGTACCAAAAGTCCTACACTTCTTAAACTATCTGCTCCCAATTATTTTTTGCTGAAGTTTGGCATGTGCAAAGAAAATGCATGTAAAAAATTGCATGAATAACAAAAAAGCGGACACAACATTCCTTCGACAACAAATTAATGTGAAAACATCAACAAAATTTTCTTGAAAGTTTTCAGCCAAACTAACCATAAAAAAGTTTATACATAAGAGTACTATAAAAATTAAGTCTAAACTTTCTTCATTCCAAATATAACTTTTGTTTATATATGTTTCTAAAAAGAAACACCACAAAAAACGTTTGTCTAACCCTACATAAAAAAAGCAGTATATTTAATATAGCTTTTTGTAACATATCTTCTCCCAATTATTTTTCGTTGAAATTTGGCACATAAATAGAAAATGCATGTAAAAAATTGCCTGAATAACAAAAAAAAGCGGACACGACATGCCTTCGACTACAACTTCATGTGAAAACATCAACCAAATATTCAGGAGAAAAATAATCTGTTAAAAAGTCTAGTAAACATACATAAAAGTTTAAAAAAAATAAAGATTAGCTTCTCTTCTTTTCAAAAAGTATCTATGTGTATAAATGTTTCTAAAAAGAAACTCCACAAAACTACGTTTACCTCATGCTGCCTAAAAAAGAAGTGAAAAAAAATCTAAAAACAAATACATTAATATTTTATTTGTTTTTAGAGCTTACATATGAAGCTTATAGGTCATTTCGAACTTAAAATTAAAATCATTTACTAAAAGCCAAGACATAGAGTAATTACTATATTTCAAAACATTTATATTTTTTATTTTTTTTATTAGGTTGGTGGGTTAAATATGATCATTTAAATGATAACCACATCTATGGTTAACTCTAAGATCACTTATTTTATTTGGCAGTGTTTTGGAATCAAGTTATGGCAATATTTTGTGTATAAAATATAACAATTACATTAAAAAAGTGCTTATTTCTGACAAAAACTTGTATTTTCTTAAGGGTTAGATGGTGTTTTATTACCCCTCTGGCTCCCAAGATACACCCTACATCCAGGCACCAAAATGAACTTGTAGCCTATTAGTGCACCTATCTTGTGATACCAAGATATTGGTATTTGGATAAAAATTGACAAAGTTATAACAATTTAAGTGAAAAAAAAAATTATTTTGACCAACAATTCCATATATCTAAAATTTGCTACTAAAAATGTTATAACTTTTTTTAGAATTGTTCTTTTATAATACCTTTTTCACCTTTAAAATACTGTATTGAAGGCCTTTCTAATGATATATAACGATATGCGCGTACCTACAATTAGAAGAAATATATGAACAGAAGAAACTTTAAAGAACAATAATAAGCATTGTATTGCTTTGAAGTCATTTTACTTTTTCTTCAAAAATAATCTTATTTTATTTAATATAATAAGTTAATCTGTGTTAATTGTGTAAGCAACTTGAATCTAGATGTAAAAAACTGTAGGGGTTAAGGATATGATGAAGCCAGTTCTGTCTCTGAGTATATAAATGGTCTTTCTGCTCGGGTTCTAATTATAAATTCAAAGGTTCTGTATATATATTTTCATGTGTATACAGAATTTCTATCGGCTGAAGTTATTTCTATCGACTGAAGTTATTTGTTTGTGAATGTAATGTCCAATTAGCCTCAGAATTTCTATGGGCTGAAGTTATTTCTATCGACTGTTATTTGTTTGTGAATGTCCAATTAACTCAGATTTTTTCTATTTATTCAGAATTATTTATTAAGAAAATAGATAAAGTTTTTAGAAGTTATTATTTTAGAGCTTGAACCGCGAACGCATAAGATGGATTGAGTGTATAGATGGTTTAAACACTTGAACATTGTTCATCAATTTTCCATGTTTATGTATCATGGCTTTCCTTAAATGTTCTGTTAACAAAAACACACCAAATAAATCTACTTTTTAAAATTCAATTAGCACTTTTCAATTTATCTATATTTTATTTTTCGCAACATGTGCCTTTGATTTTACTTCACCTGTTACTTGGCTACTGCAACCAAAATCTTTTAATGTCTCAGACGGTTTGCACCTTATTACAGCTCTTAAAAATAAATCTATTACCATCAGAAATGATATATACATAATTTTCAAAATAGCTGCTATGAAGCATCATATTTGCATCCCTAATAATATCTCAAATCTTAAATCAATATTTTTTCCTGGATTTGAAAATATTAATATAGCTTAAGGATACTTAATGTAAGAGGAGTTTTTCTGTTATGCGTCTGTTAAAAGGCTATACAAGAACAACATGTCAGAAGATTGATTTAATGATTTTGAATTAATGTATATCCATTAAAAAAATATTTTTTGTATTAATAATGTTATTAAAAGATTTTCTATAAAAAAATTGACGACCTCATTTCAATGATTAGTGTTTATGCTGCTTGTTCTAACACATACTAACTACTTTATATTAAAAAATTATTTTCTATTATCACAGCTCTTTCTTTAACAGCTAACAAATATGCATGGAAACTCCTTGGACCAAGACATCAATGGTGTCCTTAACAGGATGGATGTAACCCATACTTTTGTTTGGGATTAGCTATATTATTAGCGGTTATTGTTCAGGCAAACACTAACCTTCGCTTTCTGACATTAACAATTTCTTTCTATCATTTTCTAATTTAGCAATAAAAAAAAACAAATAAAAATTATTTTTAATAACTTTTCTCTCAATCAACCTAATAATAGTTTTTGTGCCATTTAAACCAGTTTTTTACTGTAATTGTTCTCAAAAACTGTTACCATTCTTTTCATTTGATCAAAAATGAAAAGAATGGTAACTTTCTTGTTGTTAAGGTTTAACTTGGTTTAACTCGTTTTTTAATCTTGTAATATAAAAATAAATATAGCCATTTTTTTACTATGTATATAAATCTACTTGTATTTGTATCTTACTCTTTTCTGTTATAAATTATTTTTTTTCTGATTGTTCATGTCTGGAATGAAATATGTTCCTAGACATGCTTATGAGCCCTGATATTGGGCAAAACAATCATTTGTTGGTTTATATATTTATTATTGTAATATGTTATACCAAAATTTTAGAAAAGGATCTACAGCTCTATACTCTTTTAATAAAAAAACACTTTTTGTTAAAAAATATTGTAAAGGTTATATGTATAAATAGATATTTATGTTATATACTTTTTATATGAAATTTTATTTAACCATTTTACAATGTTTCAAAGACAGTTATAAAAATATAAAAGTATAAAATTCGATTAAAAAATGCACAATATCACAATATATATATATATATATATATATATATATATATATATATATATATATATATATATATATATATATATATATATATATATATATATATATATATATATATATATATATATATATATATATATATATATATATATATATATATATATATATATATATATATATATATATATATATATATATATATATATATATATATATATATATATATATATTTACAGTAAAAAGTATTTGAGCAAGCTACTTAAAGTATTAAGGTTTATATTACTAATGTTAAACAAAACAATATGTATACATAATACTATACAATAAAAGTTTATTATATATATATTCAACTTTAATGCACATTTGTAACATGATACTAAGATAAAATAAATTTAGTTATTCAACGTTTTGATGGTGTCACGGTAGAATAAGACACGTAAAATTAAGAATCAAGTTTATTCAGGATATTTTTGAGTTTAAATTTCCCAAAAAATAGAAAGTAGAACGGCAAATTAGGACTTTAATAATTCCTTGAAATTGAAAGATTGTTTCGCTACTAGTAAATATGTTCAAGAGAAATTATTACTTATAGAACATCCAATTTCAAATAATCGATTTCAAATGATGATAAACCTATGATAACCAGAATATTATTAAATTGCAGAAGTGTCGGGTGATGATGCTTTTTTTAACATGTTTCTTCTTATTTTTTTATTCAACGCAAATTTTTTCTTTAATAAACGTTTGAAATTTAACTCAAATGAGTATAATAAAGTATTTAATATTTTAAAAAAATACATAAAGTAAAATTAAGATACTTCACTACAGAATTTTAATGGAATAAGTTGAGTTGCAAGTACACGATTTTGTTAAGAATGAGTGACACTTGTTGTGAATTTTTGGAAAAAAATTTAATAAGTCTGTAACTATAAGGAAAAAATATAATTACATAAGTAAACAAGAAAATTATAAGTAAATCGTAAACTACATTTATGATTTACTTTCAATTGATTTTTTCATATTTTCGAATCAAAACATGAAAAATTATTTTTGTTGCTTAAAACATGGACGATTTTTTTTAGTATTGGGAAATGATATAAGTGTCAAGAATTTCATATAGTGATTGCGGGATTTTCCATTCAACAATATATTGCGATAACCCTTATCATAGTCTTAAGCAGTCTGCTTATGAATGGGAAGAAATATAACTTCAAGTTTTTCACACTTTACTAGTGGTGCAAAAAAGAATTTTAAACTTGTTTTTGAATGCGATGTTAGGTTAGAACGCAGGCTATCGTATAAATTAAACCCTGCTACTTGAGGTAAATTCTAATAAGCAATGACAACTACCATGATAAAATAACTGAAGATGGTCGCCAGAAACTGGGAAGTATGTCGATTTCTTTATCTGGCACTTTAATACCAAATAGTACGTTTCAAGGCTACCAAGAGCCTTACAAATCAACTTTTTAGAGTGTTCAGAATCTCCATTGATGTTTTAAGTTAATTAGATTCCTAAAAGCTGTAAAACATGTTTTATGTGGAACATAAATTTGAAAAAGTTATTATTATTTTTTTCTACTATTTATAAAGAAATTTAAATTCTTAGACAAAATTTAAATTTTAAGCAAAAGTTTCCAAGTCTTCGATTTTCATGACCCTGAAAAGTTTACAGCCCCCTCAAACCGAAGGGGTTCAAACTTTATATTGCCATAATTTTCAAACACCTAGAGGTTATTGTATGAAATTTAAAAGTTATTGATGAATTCAAATTTATTTATAAATAGTAAAATAAAAAATTATTAACTTGTTGCTATCACGTAAAGGGCAGGCAGGCAAAGAGTTTAAGTCTTTGTTTGTTTCCAGGCTTCGGTCATTTTAACTTTTAATAAATATTCCTTATTAGACATAAAAATAAATTTACAAAAGTTTAGAGTGTAATACATGTCTAAAAGTTAACTCTCAAACAACAAAAAAAACTTGCTACGGGTCTGAGTAGTAAATGATATCTTAAAGTTTTAGAATAATTATATGATTTCATACATCATAATATCTATAAATTTTCGATTCCTAAAGACTTTTGAAAATTATTAAATGGTTTGTTATAATTCTTAACAAGTTATTAAATAATTTTTATAAATTTTGTAAATTTGATAGTTTTATAAATTTAAAATATCTTTAAAAAACTTGAAATTTCTTGGTAAATTTAAAAAAGTTAATTATTGCAAATTTATTTATTTTTATTTTTACTTATTTATTCTTTTTAACACCCAAATTGCAGGTAAAAAAACAAATTGTATAAAACTAATAGTTTATACTTTCAGTGTAAAAAATTTAAATTTTTCTTGGGATGTTTTCCTCCATCAACTTAGTAAATACCAGTCTTTGTTCTCTGATATTCCAGAATTCAAAAGAATGGTTCAAAATTGACGCTATATTTTCTTCTACGTCATTGCATCATTTTTTTTCCCTCTATCAAACACTGAACGAAGTTTAGCTCAAATTGATTGCAAATTTTTATTACTTTGTTGATAATTAGGTTATCTTTAGTAACATCAGATATCTGAGCCAAAATCAGGGAAAAACAAGTTGGATTGTTCAATAGTCTGATAAACAGATTTAATTTATTTTGAATGAGGATGGTAGATATGTCATCAATTTTAAAGAAGGGATGCAGGTAGTTTTTGTTGTACTTCGATATACTAAATAGGAATTTTAATGCTGACCTTCCAACAGCGTCTAGTTTATTAAGAAGTGAATTATCATAACAACAAATTTCTAACCCGTATGATAAATTCGGTACAGCCAGTGATTTGAACAAGTGTACTATGGTTAATGGTTGACAAAAACGAATACCCAATTTTATAAGAGCTCTGGATATTGATTGAAACTGAATAATACGTTTGTTTACATTTAATATTTGAAGTGTTGCTATATTTTTTATATTATTTTGATTATCTCATAGGAATCCGAGGTGTTTCAGTTTATTCTTGAGGTGTATGGAAAAGCCGTTTATTTGAATAGAATTTTTTGTAATTGAACTTTTAACAGATATATTAAACTCGGTTTTTTCAGTGTTTAGTTTGATATATAGGTTTTGGCATTGTCACTGAACTTTAGTTACCAATTCTTGTAAACCAGAAAGAGTAGGACTTAGTAGGATTATATCATCTGCATAAGCTATAATACCGTTGTACAACCCTCTTGTCGTTGTTCCAACTTTGCAATCTAAAACAATTTGATTTAATATACTTTGAGTGTATAAATTATATAAATGTGGTGATAAAATGGATTCTTGTCGCACGCCTTGAGACAAACGGAAATGATTTGATTTATGCCCAAGGTATGATATACTAGCAGTACACGATAGATATAGTGATTGTAGTGCGCGATCTTCTGAAAACCAGCGGATTCTATATATATGAGTACTTACAAGAGGCTTGCGTCGTTTCAAAATTTCAAAATATATATATATATATATATTGTATATAAAAACAGTAAATACGCAAAATTATATATATAAAACCTAACCTTGGTTAGCCAAATGGGTATTTGAAGACTAAAAAAAGCCTCGATTTGTGATCTCAACATTTGTAGCTCTTTTGCAACTGAAGGCCTGGGCCAAATAACTTTCCTAATCCCTTCCCTGTGATTTGAATATGTTACTCAATAAAAGGTCTTGAGGGGAATAGATAGTCTAACTTAGCAAATATTAGAGTTAAGTATAAAGAGTTCTCTATATGCATACTTTCGGAATGTATAAAGAGTTCAAGGAGAATGGAAAATCTGTCTGACTTATCCAGGATCCGAGTCAACGGGATTCTAATAAATATCCAATGTCTGGTATGCATGGGTGTGTTAAAAAAACAATAAACTGTTTACCGCCGATTAAAATTTATTTTATACTAAATAATGCTTTTAATATGTTTGTGGCTATGAAAATAGCCGTTTTTCTTTGTTCTTTTTACGGAGGCTTTTAATTGTTACACATATTGTATGAATAAGATGATCGATAAATCGATACTCCTTTCTTGGCGAATTCATTTAGTAACTTTCTTACTAAATATTCTTTTTTTCACAGGGGGCTTAAGACAAACATTCTCTTGGTTAGTTTTTAGATAATGAGATTTAAGAATACTTTTTAACCGGATTGTCGGGCAAGGAATCGATTGATAAATAGTTTTGAGTTTGTTATACTCCATATGGATCGATTCTCCGCCTTGTTCTCCATAAAAGCCGAAATCCCGCTCCCTATTTTTTCAAAAACGGAACAGCATGATGTTCTAACATATGCAACTAAGGTGTAACTGAAGCCTCGGGCCAATTCTCACGACAAAATTGCATTAAACTTTTTATATATATATTTTTTAATTTAAAAGAACAATTATAAAAAAACCAATAAGTATACTTAAACACTTATTTCAAAATATTTTATTCAATGAAACTTACTTAAAAGAGCTAAATCTTCTGGTGTACTTCTTGAAGCAAATATTTTGTAGCACTGGGCAAATTTATTAAATATTTGTTTATATTTATTGCTAATATCAACTGCTAACAGGTGCACGTTTGTTCCTGAATATCCTTCTTCATAAACAAGCTTCTGTATACAGTTACATAGCTGAAGTATTGAAGATTTCTAAATAGCAAATTTATTTTTAATCTTGTTTATAAACAGTTAAATATTTATTATAAGTTAATTATAAAAATGCTAAGCTACTTTGCTAAGGAGCCGTCCATAAATGATGTCAGAGATTTTTTCCGGTTTGTCGACCCCTCTCCCTTTCCCCTTTAGTCATAAAAATGAGGCTTTTTAGTCGTGGTGAAGGTAACTTACCTATGAGAAGAAAAATAATGATATAAAATCCTTAAAACTTAACAGAGGGAATCATGAGGGAATGGGTGGAGGAGGATATAAGGAGAGATATAATAGAGGATATAAAGAGGAGGATGTCACAAACCTCTGGTGTTAATCTCAAAATCTCTCTCGTGATGATGCCAGGGTATGAATACTGGATCCTTTTCTGTAAAAGTTAACAGGTTCACTTCAAAAGAGCATTTTGCCGAAAGCATTTGCCTTTTTTGAAAACATGAAATATCAAAGTTAGAGATTTATTTTAATTTCATACAATTTTTTTTAAATTAAATATTTAACTTATCGTGAATAAATTTTATTACTTCATTAGCTCTACAAACATGGGCCCATTAATTAAGTCAACCAAATTTTTACATTTAATTTTTTTAAATTACGTTAAATTATGATCCCCCCTCCCCCGTCCTAAATAAAAACTCTACACTACAAACGCAGCCTAATTTTCCGTTTTTTAAGCTATGCAACTAAGAAAAATAATAACTATGTTGTCGTTAACTTTACTTGACCTCCCTACCTCCCTTGAGTCAAAAATTGTCAAAGAAGTTAAGAATACCCCCCCCCCCCCCTATTTTGTTGACATAGTTAACGGACAGCCCTTATAGAAAATAATTTATGAAAGAGATAGTAGTTCATGAAAATTACTTTTAGCATATTATGCATGTGGTTAACCACAAAACTTTTTCCGTTGTACTTTCAGCATAGTCTCGATCATTTTTGTGCGTGAATTCTGGTCCAACCCTAATGATTGCTTTCCAAGCAGAGTATTATATAGAGTCGTCTAAAAAAATAAAAAAAATAGGGATAAAATAAACCAAAAAAACTGCATAAATTATAATATCGTATATTCAGTAATAACAAGACTATTCTGTGTAGGAAAGGATTGACATTTAAATCACTAACTTAGTGAATGTTGATCTGGAAACTGTACACCTAAACTCACACACAAAATGTGTGAGTTTAGGTGTACAGTTTAGGTGTACAGCAAGATTCCTTGATCATAAACTTGCAAAAAAGCATCTTAAATGCATTCACACTTGTTGATGTAAAAGCATTCTACAATTAGTTTCCACCATATAGATGTTTGCAAAACATTTTTGTTTTAACCAGTTTACACCTTTAAAACTTTATTCTATTTACAAACACAAATACCCTTTTACATAAACCTCTAAACATAATAATACCAAATCAATAAATCATAATAATAAAAAATCAATATTGTTAAACCTTTTTTGCTTTTTCACTATTAAGCAACTCAATTTCTGTGAAGTATAGAGATTGAATACTTTCAAAACTATCAGAATTGTTAACAGCTGCTAACAAAACAACATCATTAATTGAATGGGTTTGATCGTCAAGTTTAAGAACTTCAGCTAGAAGATTTAACAGCTGTTTTTGTTTTGATACAAAATCTGTATATTCTTCTGAAAAATTAATGTTGTTTTTAATGTTTCTGCAGCAATTAAAATATCCAGCTGATGCACTTCTTCTTCAAACAAAATTAAAAAGATACCAAAAAGTACACAGTAAATAAAATACCCGTTATATTTTTAAAAAACATAACGGGAGTTTTCCTCGCACATAACGGGTAATTGCCGTTATGTTTAATACTTAACATGTATGAAAATAACATAACGGTTTTAGCGTTATGTTTAGTCATAGCAAAATTGCCTTAAACATAACGGTAACATAACGCTAATTTACCGTTATGTGCGAGGAAAACTCCCGTTATATAACGGGTAATTACCCGTTATGTTACCGTTATGTTGAAAACCTAACATAACGGGTAAATACCCGTTATGTTACCGTTATGTAAAATGAAAGCTATCTTTTTAAAGAAACGCATAATTCTGCATGATTATTCACAGGAAGTACTTAACAAAAAAACATTTTTTTGTCAATACAAGTTGTAATAATAAAAAAAAAAATGCAGTTTCATTTTATAATATATGTATATTATATTATTTATCATAATCATGAAAATTATTTACAAAATAATTGAATAAATTACTTTCAAAAAAGTTGAATAAATTATTTACAAAATTAATAACAAATAATTGAATAAAATAACTTATTAACATTTATAAATTCAAAAGTAATTTGCATTGCTGTGAAAAGATTGCAGAAGAAAAATGCATTTTTTAGATAATAAAGCCTATTGCAAAAAGCCTAAAAAATCTTGCTAACATCCCGGAAGAAGCCGGCCAAAACAAGAATATGTCAAATCTAGCAAATAGTAAACAACCATCAAAACAACCACTATATGTACTGATCAAGGGTTGAGCATCCATTTCGACACCTCTTCAATTCCTTACATCATATTCTGTTTTATTAAAGATTGCATCATATTCTGTTTTATTGAACCATTGCATTACAAAATATGCTTACCATTAGTTAGAATGTCAGCAATATTACAAGCAAGAACAATTTTCTTTCCCCAAGAAATTTGACAACAACAGCAATATTATTTTCAACTATTAACTATTGTAGAAATCAGTAAAGCAGTTATTATTAGTTTATACAACTTTAATTTTACAAATAGTATATTTAACATTTTTTAATACTTACAATACAAAATTAATGTTAAAAACAGTAATAACAAACAGACAGAGGTCAGACGGTACGAGGTATACACCATTATTACACAACTATAAAACAACATTAATTAACACCATTATTTGGCACAGTTTAATTAGTTTATTAATACTACACTAACATATTATATTACTAGAAAAATTTATTATAAAAATATCATATAATATATTAAAATAATAATACTGTTATAGTATAAAATTTATAAACCATAAGCATATAATACGGTCATTCCACATAAAATGAGCTAAAACCTCTCGGGTGACAATGTTATATCTTCTTAAAATGTATACCTCCTGTAGGTTTTATGGACCAAAAAGATTTCTTCAGAATTTCAACTTAATATTAAATAATTTTTTTTTTCAAAATAATTTCAAATATTAAAGACTTAGTCTATTTCGGGGAACTTATTGGTTAATTTACGGACCGAAAATTGACAGAGTGTACAGTGAATTCAGAAATATAAATGCAGCACAAACAAATTTGATGTTTTTTGTGGTGCTGAGATATCTGAACAAAATAGCATTATATAACTAAAAATTCACTATTTTTAATTTTTTTTATAGCCATTATAGCCAATATCTCTAAAAGGGATCAATTTTATTTTTTCTAATTTCCAAATAATTCCTCAAACTAACCTTGAACATTTTTATCTTAATAAAAGTTTAATTTAAAAAAATAAGTCATGCAGTTTAATACCTTAATATATTTATATTAAATCATTTTTCATAATCATGAAAAGAATTTAAGAAATTAACTTTGATAAAAATTACATTAATAAAGTCAAAAGTACTTTGCATTGCTATGAAAAGATTGCAGAATTAAAATGCATTTTTTAGATAGTAAATCCGATTGCCCAAATCCGCAAATATCTTGCAAACATCCCAGAAGCTGCCCAAAACAAGAAGGATATGTTAAATCTAATAAATAATAAACAGCCATCAAAACGACTACCATTTCGCATGTACTGAGCAAGGGCTGAACATCAATCTCAACACCACTTCGACTCCTTACACCATACTCTGCTTTATTAAATATAATTTGTGGACCATATAGGCTTGGCACTCTTAAACAATCATGTATTGAATCACACTGAAATATTATAAATACAAAATAAGTATTGCAACGATAAAAGAAAAAATTATTATTAAAATTAAATGAGTTAAGTTTATATTTTATAGAACTTGCTAAATACCAATTAAAAAACTAAAAAAACTTACATCTACTTTCATAAACAATTTTTCAGTTGTCTTCTTGGAAATGAGTGATTTCTGCAGCAGCATTAAATTTTCAGTGTGGTTTTGAGACTCAGGAGAAATCCAAACCAACATCTTTTGAATCTTAAGAGCAGAGTCTTTAAAACTAGGGTAAAAACGAATTGCTTCTTCCAGCATTAATCCAGGAGCATACGTAACTCTTTTTGGAAAAAAAATAAATCTCGTTATTAAAAAGTTGTCAATTTATAATGGATAGTGTTGAAAGCGACGGATTTTTCTTCTTAAATTCATTCTAGGAAAAAGAAAGAGTCATATATATTCTTTTTTATAGCTATTTAATAAAATAAAATAATGAGCTGACAAATAGTTATAATATTTCTAAAATTTTTGCGCCTAAGTATATTTGTTTGGACTATAATTTTTTATAGTAGAATTAGAAATAATCAAAAAATGAATGAACACAATAAACATCTTACTACAACATCTTGTATTAGCTGTTCTTTATCTACAACTGATTCTGACAAAATTGGATTGACTGTTCGCCTGCTATTATTTATGGAACTATTTACAACAGAAAAATGAGGAAATCGCTTCACTTTTAAACTGTGACATTTACTAAATTGTCTTTGTCTATAATTATTGGGCAACTTTTTGAACAAGAGATTCTAATATAAAATTAAAAAGTTCAAAAGTTTAATTAAATAAATCAAATCAAACAATTTATATATGCAGCAGGAAATTTGTAAATCTGAAGAAAAATATTAAAACAAAGGAAAAAGAAGGCCAAAAATATTTAAAATAATAATAATTATTACCAATTTTAATAAAAATAAAAATTATAGTATTAAAGACGTTCTTACCCATTTATTGATGTAAGAAGGATATAAGGAAATGCAAGTAGACTTTAACTTTGCAAAAAATACTTTCCGTAACAACATTCTATTTTGTAAATTGCTATGATTAGGCACATGCAAACAACAAAAAGCTAATAAACAAGACATTAGCTCTTTAGATATCACTTTATCTTCAACTGAAGACTTGTTGCTCAGAAATAGTTTAATGTGAGGTGGAAAAAAATCAATAAGAGCTTGTTTAGTCTCACCACCAAAAGGGATTCTGTTAATCTAAATATAAATTATTAATGTAAATATATAAAACATAAAATTAATAAAAAAAATAAAATTTTCTTTTAAAATATTTGTGAAACTTATGAAAAAATAAAACATTTACAACAACTAAAACTGACAAAATAAAAAATGCAAACCAGACTAAGTAATCATATTTATTGCAAATAATATACACTTTTTATTAAAACTAGTTTTCTTTCAATGCAACTAAATGATAAGGACTGGCAATGCTGGGGATACAACATATGAAATATCCCCTTCCTTATAATAAAACGCTAGCCATGGAAAATCTAAGTTTTCGGCTGAAATAGTTTTAAAAGGAACTGTATTGTCTTCAACAGCAGTAAAAAACCCTCGTAACACATTGTAAGTAAGGCACTGAAGCTGTGAGGTAATAAATGTTGTTTTTTCTCCTTTTACATTTATTTCTTTAATAATATAAGCAAAAGATTGAAAACCATCATGAAACCATAAAGACGATTCAGGACAATATTTAATACCATTAATACGGATGCAAGTAACAACATTTTTTTTAATCGTAACTTGATTTAATTCACAAAGAACTCCATTACTAATTTCTCCAAAAGAATTATAAAAAGAAGCTACAGTGTTTAAAACCATACTATTCA